AGAGAGAGAGAGAGAGAGAGAGAGAGAGAGAGAGAGAGAGAGAGAGAAAACGAAACAAGAAAGAGAGAGAACGAAACAGAGAGGTGGCACGGTGGCTAAGAGTTAGGAGCCCTTGTTGCTCTTGCAGAGAACCCTAGTTCAAGTCACAGTAACACATGGCAATCCACAAGTATCTGTGACTCCAGTTCCAGGATAGTCAATGTCCGCTTCTGACTTCTAAGGGCATCAGACATGCACATGATATACATAAACACATATAAGCAAGACACTCATACATACAACATTTTATAATCTTAAAAATAACAAGACCCAAAGGTGGTGGTGGCACACGCCTTTAATCCCAGCACTTGGGAGGCAGAGGCAGGCGGATTTCTGAGTTCGAGGCCAGCCTGGTCTACAGAGTGAGTTCCAGGACAGCCAGGGGTATACAGAGAAACTCTGTTTTGAAAAACAAAACAAAGCAACAAAACAAAACAAAAATAACAAGACCCAGGTGTGAGGTACGCACGAATGCATGCACGCAGGAACGAAGGCAATACGCCCTGCAGGTTCTATAAGTATGGGTGGCTGCACACCCTGCTTACAAAGCACTGTTGCAGGAGCCCTACAGATGCAAGCCCAGCTCTGGGAGGGTTTGTGATCCCTTTCTGTTCTATCTCCATCACAGCCCACCAGGTAGAAAAGAATTTATATACGTGTGCATGCTTCCTATACTTTCTGGTTGAAATGATGGAAACCAATGAGGGAAGGGGATGTCTCGGCGGGGCCGTGCCAAGGTATCTCTTCCCCCTGAGGGATCAGCCACATGACGGTATAGCATAGAATAGTTTATTCAGTGCATGGGTGTGGAGAGCCGCATAGTGCTGCACCTTTAAGATGGCACTGGTCTCTGCCTTCCACCACCTGCTGGCGAGGACTCTTAGGAGTAAACAACTCCTTATATGGCAGTGGCAGTTGATCTGGCTTGTCTCCGTGTGTGTGTGTGTGTGTGTGTGTGTGTGTGTACCTATCTGCTGTTGCCACGTGGCAGACGGGGGTTGGCTAGCCCTAGAGTACTTAAGCCTGGGAGAGGCTTCCCTCGAGGTCGTCAGTTAGAAGGTGGTCAGTTAGAAGGTCATCAGTTAGAAGATGGTTCAAGGGTCCTGAAAAAACTGCTTGGAGAAGAGCTCCTGCGTTGCGTCTTCCTTGCTGGTCGAGGGTGGACGCGACACATGGGAGGAGAGCCAGGAGGGTAGTGGGGTGGGGGGGGGCAGAGAAGTAGAAGAGTAGAGGCCGGCCATGACCATGTGGAGAGAGGGAGAAGGGAAGGGGGGAGGGGGCAGAGAGAAGCTACAGGCAAGAGAGCAAGAGGGTAAGAGAGAGAGGAGGGGCAAGCATCCCCTTTTATAGTGGGCAGGCCTACCTGACTGTTGCCAGGTAACTGCGGGGAGGAGCATACCCGGCTGTTGCCAGGTAACTGTGGAGGTGGAGTTTAGTCAGAATACTAACACTGGTGTGTCTCTTTTTGTCATTGATTTTCTTTTTTTCTTTTTTTTTTCTTTTTCTGCTTTTGAGCCCAGGTTGACAACAGACGACAGTCCTTCTGTTTCTGTTGACAAAAGACGACCTTGCCCGCTGCTAGGGTTACACTTCTACAATCACATCTGATTCCTTGTTTGTTTGTTTGAGATGGCCTCACTCTGCAGCCCTGACTGGCCATATATTAAGCAGACCAGGCTGACCTTGAACTCTGAGCTCCACCTGCCTCTGATTTCCCCTAGCAGCCCTTACAGGCATGCCTAACCACGCCTAGCTTCTTTGTTATTTTAATGGATTTTGTTTGGTTTTTGTTTCTTGAGACTGGTCAGGTTGTCCCAGAAGTCTCCGTGTAGAGCAGGCAAGCCTCACACTAAGAGATCCATCTGCCTCTGCCTCCTGAGCTCTGGAATAGCCACGCCTGGCTTAACATTTTATTTTTAAAGATTTATGATTTTTGTGTGTGTGTGTGTGTGTGTGTGTATGTGTGTGTGTGTATGTGGTATGGGACTGAACCCAGGCTCTCGAGCACACCAGCCAAGTACTTTTCCATTAACAGCCATGGTCCTCTTATTGATTTGAGACGTAAGGCTAGCCTCAAACTTGTAATTCTCCTGCCTCAGTCTCCCTACTAGTTGGGGTCACTGGAGAGCTACATGGTAAGTTATTTCTCCACCTCCACCAGCAGCGAAATGAGCCAGTTCAAGCCAGATTAAAATATACATAAACACAGGTTTTTGGGAAACCATAGGTTTACTGGGCAGTTGAGTTCACTGGCCCCAATTAAGGGGGCCAGGGAAGTTGCCACAGGGAAGGAAGGGGGGACGGGGACAGAAATAGCATGTGCAGAGAGAAGAAGAGAAGAGCAAGGAGATCAAAATACCTGGGCTATATAGCAAAGAACCCATGGAGGAAAGGCAGTCCAGACCATGGGCTAGAAAGGTCCAGGTAGGGACTGAGGGATGCTGGGAGAACCTGGAGGCAAGGGTATGCTTTGCCATGCAAAATATGCACCTCAGCTCTTGGTCTCAGGATCTGAAACCAAATACTACATTCCACCTGCCTTTATGGATGTTTTTTTTTCCCCAATTATAGTAAGCTTTTATTTGCGTAAGGTTAAGTTTTTCATTTGCTAAGTTCCTCACCATAAAGCTGGTCCCTATTTTAGAATCCCTGGAGCCCCGCAGATCAGAGGCAGGATGCTCAGAGTTGCCAGTTAGCCACATGCGGACCTTCCCTGTGACAGACCTGGCTTCCACGCGGTGAAGACAGTGACGTGATGTCCATGTGGATAAACAAGCCAATGCCACTCGTTCAAGGGAGCCTCGGGGTGGTGCTGATGCTGCTTCCCACAGAGCTGTCTTTCAGTGTACCCTGGGGCATGATTCCAGAGAAACTTGGTTTTGTTAGAAGCGCCAGCTAAGGAACGCGCACAATTTCCTTTTCTCATGATGGTTCTAACATGCTTTTCCGCTCATATGATTATTAATTTGATAGAGGGAAGATATTTAGCAGATGTTTGTCTCTAATGGCCTAGTGATACTAGGCTAACAGGGAGGAATTATTCTAGCACCTGCGAGCACTCTGGCTCTGGGAGCACCACCAGGGAGTGAGCATGGACCCTCCCTCACGCACAGTTTTTCTAGGCCCCTTCAAGCCTGCTGTTTGAGGCCCACGTGTGGGAGGCTGGAGAGTCTGAGTAGGCCCTGTAGTGGGCTTAGGAGTCTCCAGTGACTGGGAGAAAAGCTTCTCTTGGTCACGCCCCTTAGCAGTGGTGACAGGGACTGAGAGCCCTTGTGCACAGCATGTCCCAGAGATCTTAAAGATGGCCCAAGTGTGTGAGCAGCCAATCCACAGAGTCTCTGGAGCTCTCATCAAGATCACAGGCCCTTCACGGAAGTGAGAGATTGGGAATAAACGCAAACTGTGGAAGTATCAAGGATCGCTGTGCCTCCCGGAACAGGACAGAACCCGCCCCCGCAGGCTTGGAGTCCTCATGACAGTGTAGCTGGACTCAGATACAGCTGCTGGGCAAACCACAGATTTAGGGCAGCAGAGCAACAGGCTGGGAATGTGGTAGAGCGCTCGCCAAGCCACAAGGCCCTGGTCTCCATCCCTAGTGCTGCAAAATCAAATAAATCAAAAAACACCGATTACACCAGACCAGAAATACCAAGCAGAGAAAAAGGGAAACGGAAAAATAAGCGGCACAGAAGCAATCATTTCCCAAGGATGCTCAAAGACAACGAACTAGTTAGATGGCCGAGAAGAAGGGAACAGAACAGGCTGGCATAGGCG